TCACGTTTTGTGGCCCACAGGGGAAGGCTGAGAGCAGGCTCGCGCTGGGGTGGTCGGGGTGGGAGCCAGTCCCTCTCCCCCATCTCCCTGCTGCACTTTAACGGTGGTGGAGGGAGAAGGGGGACGATGCCGATGTGCCATTGCAGGGGACTGCTCATGCAGGGCTGGGGAGGCTCGGGGTGGGGGAACGGCCCTGGGCCCCTCCTGCTACCCCTTTCTCTCTGCTGTATAAAGCTGATTTCTTTGGCGCTGTCCTGACAAGAGCTTCCAGAGCTTGTAATCGATGCCTCCCCCTCCTTTTTACAAGGGTTTTTTGGTTTTCGTTTTTTGTTTTTTTCTTAAATAAATTAGTTCTGACTTCCATCTCTCAGCGCTCTGACGCCTGTCTGGTTTTTTGGCAGTAGGCTCCTCGGTGCTGACGGGGGAGAGGCCGTTTACACCAGGACAGCGGACAGGAGAGCAGCGCAGGAGGGTACGGGGCACGGGAGAGCGATGGTTCCCGTTAGCTTTCTGCAGCGTTCAGTTTGGGAAGAGGAGGGAGAGCCGCTAAAAGGAAAAACCGACCCCAAATACTCAGCGTCTGGGCCGCATGTGGGCACGGGGAGCCTGCACATCAGCTGACGCCCAGGCCTGGTTGCACTCCAGGGCCCACGTTGCTGCAGCCTGGAGGTTTAAGGGCTGTCGGGTCCCACTGGTGTGGGAAGTGCGTGGGGTCTCTGCGGGATCACGCAACCTTTATCGGCTCTGTTGCCACTAGGTGACACTCTTGATCCAGCATCTGTCGTGGCATCCAGATGTTCGTGGCCTCCAGATGTTCATGGCCTCCAGGAGTGCTTCTGGAGTGGAGGAAGGTGAACTTGGACATGGACGCGGACATCCCTTCGTGGGTGAGGAGGGGACCCAAGCGCCTTGGCTGAAAACCAGTGGGCGTTTTCCAAGGGGGTTTGGATCAAGCGTTCCCTGGGCAGGGCAGAGTCTGCCCTTGCAAACCTCCGGTCCCACTGATGCCTGGCCACCCGGCGTGGTTGTGCCCTCAGAAACGATCAGAGGATGCTCCCTTGTCTGAGCCAAACCCTGGGGAAGGTCCCGGCTGCTCCTGGGGGGGCCGGAGGCTGTGCCGTGCAAGCGACCACCTCTTATTGCCCCTCTCTTTGAGCCCCCCCCGGGCTCTGGGGACTCTGCACCAGTCTGGAGAGCAGCTCTCCGGGAGGTGAAGTGGGAGGGGGTTTGCGTTAAGGCAACAGTTGCCACAACGAAGGGGATGGGCTGAAAAGGAGGGACCCTGGCAGGGGTGAAGGTGTCCTGTGTGTTAAGATAATGTTTTTAGGCTGTGAAGTGTCTTCCCAAGGAAGGGAGCTTTACCAGAGAGCCAGGAAAAGGTGGAGAAACCCGCGCTGCCACTGACCACCGTCTCGTGGCCCTTTTCTTGGTGTAACGGTTTTTTTCAGAGGGACTGTTCCTATGAACTCCAGGAGCTGCGGTTCAAGGTGTTCGGGGCAGGATGTCTCCACCTGCTTTGGACACAACCTGAGCTTCGGCGGAGGCAGGCAGTGGAGGGCTGGTTTGCAGATGAAGACACAAATCTTCTAAAGGCAGCTGGCCGGGCTCTGCCCAAAATCAGCCCTAAGGAGCCGTCCCAGGTAAAGGATGGGATGAGATCCCGAGAGTAGATTGTGCTGTTGGGAGGCCGCTGCGTTAAGCCCTGGACTGCCTGGATGTCCTCACCGAGGTCTCTCAGCCTTCCAGTTTTACTCACTCCGGCTCGCCAGCCCTTTTTTTGTACTGTTGACACTTGGGTGGCTGTTGACAACCTGGTTTTGCTTTCCCTGCTAGTGGTACTGGAGAGCAGAGCTGGTGGAAACCGTGATCCCCTGCAGATGTGTCCAGAGATGCAGCGCAGGGGAGAGAGCACAAACAGGCCAGCAGAGCTGCCGGAGCAGAGAAGCTTTTGCAGGGGCAACGGTAGGATTTGGACCTCATTTTAAGGCAGGTTGTTTTAAACACATTTTGCTTCGATCAGTTGAGATTCTCCTCCCCAGCAAACACATCCAAACCAAGCGTACAAAACCTCCCACGTACCTGGTTGTGGAGGATGCTCTCCTGATTCAATCTCCTCCTCTGAAGCAAAAGCTCGGGAGATAAACTCGGCTGCTCCTAAGGCTGGGGTGCAGCAGGGCTGAGAAGGAAGCGTGGCTTTGCGCTGGGGCACGATGCCTCGCTGAGCACTAGCGTGGACCCAGCTGGGATAAATCTGTGCTGCTGCATTGATTTATCGGAGCCGGGGAGGCTGCCGCAGTGTGGGCTTGGGGTGCGTTTTCTTGCTTGTTCCCAGCACAGATGGGACGAGGAAGCGGGGGTTTCCCGGTACAGGCGCTTTTCTAAAGAAACCTCCTGCTGCGATCAGAGCCTCGCGTGTGTGCGCTCTGCCCTGGGATGCCTGCCAGGACAGAGTGACGCAGAGGTGGCCGGGGAGGTTTGGCTGGGAGCATCCAAGGAGAGGGTCCTGGGGAAGCAGAGGGAGGGCAGACGCCGTGTGCGAGCTCCCGGGGGAGCTTGTCCTGGTACGAGTGACGGCAGCC